ATCTATCTTATAGGATAAACCTTTTTTAAAAATATATATTAAAGTAAAAATATTATCAAATATTTTAAATTCAAATTTGACTCAAAATTTAATCGGGTCAACCTAAATCTTAATTTTTCGAGTCTGGTTTACTTGGAGTTGTTGTATGTGTCATTTATTGGGCAAATTATTGTGTCCGGTGTCCGGATTCGTCCGGACACCAATAAAAACATGCCACGCGTCATTCAAAAATATCGGGGCCCAGCGCATCCGGGTGAGGTGGCATCCTTAACTCATTTTTTTCAGCTTTTGGATTGAATAAGGGTTTGACAACTACTTTATTTGGCCCAACTTTTGCCTACTTTGTTTCACAATATCTCATAGTTTGGATCAAAGAAGATCAAAATTTGATTCGATTTAGACTTCGTTTGGGACGGTTTTCTTACTACTTTCTATTAGAACAGAAACACAAAGGAGCTACACAAACAAATCTGACGTGGCATGGTCTTATTAGCTGTCTACTTATTTGCACTTATTGTTTCTATATAAATAGTGTACCTGTGTACTATTGAGATGAATGAAAACACTTTACATTTCTGTTCTTCTTGAAGAAACGCAGGGAGACAGATACAGAACCATGAAGAACGGAAATGTAAATGTTTTCATTCATCTCAATAGTACACCGGTACATTATTTATACAGAAAGGATAAATTCAAATAAGTAGACAGCTAATAAGACAATGCCACGTCAGATTTGTTTGTGTAGTTCTTTGTATTTCTATTCTAATACTTTCTGAAGCAATTTTTTAATATCAAAATTTTTTTAGTTTTAAAATTTTTTGTACTGAAAAGTTGCTTTAGAAAACAGCAAAAAAGCATCTCAAACAAAACCTTAGGCTTCATTTGAGATAGTTTTCTTACTGCTTTTTAAAGCAGCTTTCTAAAAAGCTGTTTAAAGAAGCAGTAATAAAGCCATACCAAATGAAATCTTAATCAAGATCATAGTGTGTATCACATAATCTTCTCTAAATCTAATAACTTATATCAACATAGAACCATGAAGATCATCATATCTATTTTGAGATCAATGTAGCACAATATTCTAAACCCTAAAACACTAATCTCAAAGCATACGCAATGATCTTCAAGCCCATCTTAACAAAACTTACATCCTCACATAAATTTTTTTCACCATACAGGGTGGTCGAATAACCTTCAGCGGGCAAATGCAGAACTACGTACAAGCAGCGCAGGAGATCGTCGAAATATTAGGAGATGAAGACACGGCCGCCAACTATTTGAGCAAATGCCTCTTCCAGGTGGGCATGGGGAGCAACGATTATCTCAACAATTACTTCATGCCGGCCGTCTACTCCAGCAGCCGCCAATACACGCCTGATCAGTTCGCCGACGTCTTAATCCAGCAGTATTCCGAGCAGATTAGGGTAAGCTTTTATCATTATAATCTTGATTAGAGCATCTAATTACATTCATTAATCATGAGCTTTTGAAGATTTGTTAGATTTGTTTTCTTTATGTTGCACGAATCTCAATGCAAATCTTATGATTTTCAGGCTCGTTGTGGTATAACTTGCATTAGGATACATGTTTAAAAAATAATTATCATTATTGCACTAATCTTAAAGCTGAAATCATATAATTCTATTGAAAATTTTGTTGAGAGATTCTGACCCATTTGAAATTTAAAAAAAATTGTATCATGTAAATCACTAATCTTAAAGCTAATGCATTGATTAATTTAAAAAGTCATTATGCCCAATTTCTTTTCATTAATTTAGCTGGTCAGAACCTTCTCACAAAAAGCTTTGCATTAGATGAGCTGGTTGAATGACACGTGTTTCAAAAATAGATATCATTATTGCACTAATCTTAAAGTTAATTAAATAAATTTAAAACTTATAATTGTGATAAAATTTTGATCAAGATATCCTGCACTAATTTTTGTTTCATTTGAAATGAAAATGTTTTTTTATCACAATATCCTATTATGATAACTCTTAATGCATTAAATGTGCTTTGAGATGAGTGCATTAAAAAAAATTATAACAACATATCCTCATATAAATTATATCAAAATGGGCTACAAAATAATTGAGTTTGTTTTAAAATTAGTACTTCATATATGAAAATTTTGAATCGCACTAATCTTATTGCAAATCTAGTTGTTTATAATCTCAACCTAAAATAATTTATATCATACATATTCAAAAAAAAAAAAAAATCAATGTTTAATGCATGATACTAATCAATCAAAATATATAATGCACTAATCTTAAAGTTGATCGATACATCCTGATCTGATTTTCTTTCCATCAAAATTTTGATAGATACTTTACAACTACGGAGCAAGAAAGGTGGCAATCATCGGAGTTGGTCAGGTCGGCTGCAGCCCAAGCGAGCTCGCCCAATTGAGCTCCGATGGCGTCACTTGCATCGACCGGATTGACAGCGCCATCCAATTGTTCAATAAAAGGCTCATACAATTAGTGAATGAATTCAACCGGCTCGATGGTGCTCATTTCACTTTCATCAACGCTTTCAATATCTTTCAGGACATCATCACGAACCCATCAGCTAATGGTAATTAAACTAAACCATCTTCGAATAATTATCCATAATACTCTTCTTATATAAGATTCAAACATTATAAAAGCAATATTATATTTTGATTTTTTCAGGCTTGAGAGTAACTAACAGAGGATGTTGTGGAGTAGGGAGAAATAATGGACAAATAACTTGTCTTCCTTATCAAACTCCATGCCCTAATAGAAGAGAGTACTTGTTTTGGGATGCCTTCCATCCTACTGAGGCAGGAAACATACTTATAGGAAGGAGATCATACAGTGCTCAATCTTCTTCAGATGCTTCTCCGATGGATATTCGTCACCTCGCTCAAATTTGATTTGTATTTACTAATAGTATATTACGTAAGAAGTATCTGAACTCATAATGAACTGATCGGAAATAAGTTGGGGAATCATAACGGGTCGAATTTGAGCACTGATCCTGTCTGGAAAAAAATAACGGTATATGATGTTATAGTTGCTTTGATAATTCAAAACTTTATAATTGTATTTTATGTTGAAATTGTTGTGAGGGTTAGTCTATTTGAGCTTGAATTAGGGTTTTGATTTCATGAGAGACTGAAAGGCTATTTATATAGCCTTTGGTTCGAATTTGTGTAAGACGATATTCACAAGTCTGAGAAATATAAGATTTTTCTAATGGAAAGTTATTTGTTAAATGTAATTCATCAGAATGAGTGATAGATTACGATTAATTTTTTGTTTGTGTTGATTTTGTTTTTGTTATGTGTTGGGCGGCCTTATTTCTTACTTCCATTTTATTTACAATTAGCTCATTTTGGAACTGATGATAGGCATATGGTATTTTCTTCTAGATTCTTCTAAATTTGGTTAATTAAATTTTTATTATTTTTAGAAAAAAAAATTCAATAAAAAAGCATAGAAATTAAACTTTCTTTTCACAATTAATTTCAATTTTTATAAAAAAATAAATAGCTAAATATTGAAATGAGATATATTTTCACCCAAGAATGGGTTAACATTGTAATAGAATAAATTGGAATCAGTTCAATGCTTCCTTGCTTCCTTCTCAGCCTGCAAAACAAAAAAATAAAATTTATTAGGCTTAAAACTAATCATCTCCGCATCTCAAAACCCTAAATTTGCTCCAAGATTAGTGCAATGCAAAAGCTGATTGAATATTTACGTATCGCACTCATCTCAAAGACAATCTTACCGCGTCGATGACTCTGTCAAAGGCCTCGGGGCCATACCGCTCGATGTAGCGCTCGACGGCCTTCCTCGCGTCGAGGCTCATCAGCTGTATCGCCCTTCGCTGCTCCGCGCTGTAGTTTGAGCTCACATAGCTTCCAATTCTGACATATTTCCTCACGTAATTCTCGTAGAGGAAAGCAGCGCCATTGAAGATTGGCAAAACCAGCCACATGCAGAAGAGAAGCTTCAGGTATGGCCACAAAGGAAACCTATTCATTGTTGAAAATTATTCATTTGAGAAATTTTTTTCATAAGTTCTTAAATATTAATATTAATTATATATATTATAAATAGGGGTGTCAATATTTGATAAGACCCGAAAACCCGACTCAAATCCGATACGAAAATTTTGGGTTGGGGTCAACTAGGACCCGAAACGGGTCGGGTTCGGGTTCAACTATTCGACCCGTTTCAAAAATCGGGTCGAGTTCGAGTTAACCTTTTGACCCGAAATTTTAACCCGAACTCGACCCGTTTTTGACCCGAAAACCCGAGATTAACCCATTTTCAACCCGTTTTGACCCAAAAAGCGAAGTTTGACCTGTTTTTTGAACAGCAAACTAGCAATATTTTTACTGTTCCAAGTCATTCGGGTCATTTCGGGTTGACCCGGACTCGAACAGTGCCTGGTCAATTTTGGGTTTAACCTGAACCCGACCCGTGACCCGAAATTGACACCCCTAATTATAAATTTTAGACATTTCATAAATTGATTTGAAATTTGTAAGATGTAATGATCAAATATTTTAATTCATTTTTATAATGGAAATATATTAAAAATAATAATTTGATATACTTATAGCTACTTAGGCTTCGCCTGGGACAGCTTTTCTATTGCTTTGTAAAACTATTTTTTAGTACAAAAAATCTCTTGAAACCATAAAAAAAAAATAGTGGTCTAAACCTATCCCAAACGGAGCCTTTAGAAAATAAAATTGTGAGATTTTTTGTGACGACTCTTTTAACTAAGTTTTCTTGATGATTCGACGTGAGATTTTACGTGTATCTAGTAGACGACTCTTATCATAAAAAAAAGTGACAAATATTTAAAATATTTATTCAAAAACACATACCATACTAGAACTTTATAGAAAGAGAGCTCAAAAAGAGTGATCAATGAATACAAAACCCAATAAGTGAGCCATTGTTGATCATCAAGTGGTGAAGGGCTTTCAATAGCTCTCATTGATGCATATCTAATGATCATATCAAATACATTTACTATAATGTTAGCAAATCATGTAAGCAATAACATAAATGAAATCATTTCACAAATGTTGGAGCAATATTAGTCACTTACAAAGGGTAGAGAAGCATCATTCCAGGGCTGAGTCAGAAGAACAAATAGAAGGTTTCTATTAGTAAGAGTCATTGGAACAAAAGGGTTGTTTGGTTCGAAGGAAAGTACATAAAATGAAATGAAATTGCAATAATTTATAACTTTATTGTGAATATGCAATCAATGATCGACCCTTACATATAGGATAAAATTCTCGAATCGAAAAGAAATGTGATCAGTACTGATATTTCTGACCCTGCTAATTAGGTCCTCTCTTAGTTCAAATTCTCATATTAATAACTCGGCTAGAACTATGTCGTTCATTTGGATTATAAACCTCACAACTCTTTGGCGAGGGCTTTATCATGATCGATCAAAGTTTAACAGTGCATAGATCCCATAACATATTCATTTGATTAAATGAACATTTACTGAAAAATACTTGATAAGGTTCCATTTGAGAAGCTATAAAGCTCTCACACATGAGGAAGATTTTGAAGACTTAGAAGGCTTTGAATTCATTCTCATATCAAATAATTCGAAATTATGTTAATGTAAAAATATATAATTACTAACCCTAGCTTAAAAAATTAAATTTTTGATTGAAAATTGATATGATCACCAGTCTTTCTGGCTTAATTTCGATCTCCTATTCATTTATACTCGTATACATAAAGATCATAATAATAACAATAATTATTATTACTATTATTATGATAAATATAATGATAATGATAGTACTGATGATGATGATGATAATAATAATAATAATAATAAGTAAGAAACGTACCCGATTAAAGCATCCAAATTGAGAGCAATAGTCTTAAGGAAGCCCATTTTTGCTTTTTAGTAACAAAATGGAACTTAATTTTTCATGGAGAAATGCAAGCTCATGGCATTTAAATGGAGAGAAATGGTAAGGAGAAGAAGCAAACAAGTGAATATATTAATACCACTACAACAAATCAAAGCCTCCTTTTCTCCAAAGACAAAGAAAGGAAGCACCAAAAAACTTGGAAAGAGAGAGAATAACTTGAGGCCTTAGATAACTTTATGAATTAAAGAATCTATATAGTTTATTATTAAATTCTAAATAAATTTATGGATTATTTTAATATAATTTTATTATTAATTAAATTCAAATTAAATTACATTTTTTATTTTTTCAAATGAGATAAATATATTAAGATTTAATGTAGAATGTATTTATTACAATTTTAAGATTAAATTTGTCTAAGATTTTTATCAAAATAGACATATTAAAATAAAATAAATAAAACATTAAATAAACAATTTATTACTTCATTATTTAAATTTTTTATAGCTTTCATTACCCTCATTCAATCCAATTATCCAAAGTAGGCCTTAGAAGGGTCTTCTATTCCAGCCCTCACGACTAGCTTATCTTCAATTATGGGCCATTAAAGTTGAGCCCAGCTAAATCCTAAGTTCAAGCCCAATTAGCAAAGGAGACTTTGATTTGGGCTGTCATTAATCCAATTTTGCGCTGAACCCTATATAATAGTGGAAATATCTCTATTATATCAATTTTGAATAATCATATGGTCTAAATTATTTTTATTTCTGATTTAAATATATTTTTCAATTATCTTATACTAAAAATTTAATTAAATTCATGATTAAAATATATATATATCACCATATATTTATGCTTCTCCACTCAATTTTTTAAAAAATTCATACTCAAAATCAAATATTAAAATAATTAAAATATGCCAAAAAATAATACGAATAATATAAATAAATAAATCTCATTAAAAATATGAAAAATAAAACCATGAGCATATAACATAAACCATTCTCCTTCTTCCTCTGCCTCTCCACAATGCCACCTCTTCTTCTTCCTCCTCCCTCCTTCCTCCTAATCTCCACTCTTCTTCTCCTCTCTCTCCAAATCTGTAAAACCCTAAACCTCTCAGAAAAAGAAACCCTCTTCTCCATTATGGAATCCATCTCCTCTGATAAAGACTGGAGATCCTTCAGCCCTGAACCCTGCAATCCAAGCTCTTCATGGCCTGGAATGGAGTGCAAGCCTGGTTCAGACAACCTTCTCCATGTAACCAAACTTGTCTTTGGAACTCCTCCTAACCCAACTTGCATGAACTCTGCAACTTTCCCTTCTCAAATCTTCAACCTTCCATTTCTCCAATCCATTCACTTCGTCAGCTGCTTCAAAACCAAGAAGACAACTCTGTTCTTCCCTAACTCGCCATCTTCTTCTCTCAAACAACTCAGTTTCAGATCAAATCCTGCTCTTATCAGCCTCATACCACCTCAGATTTCCTCTCTCAAATCACTCCAAGTTCTCACTCTTTCACAGAACCATCTGTATGGAAAGATCCCAGACTCTATTTCTTCTCTGAACTCACTGATTCATCTTGACCTGAGCTACAACAAGTTAACTGGAAGAATCCCAGCAGAAATATGGAGACTGAACAACCTTGTTGATCTAGATTTGAGCTATAACTCTCTTACAGGACCAATCCCACCATCAATTGGAGAACTGGTTAAGCTTCAAAACCTCGACTTGAGTTCAAATTCACTAACGGAAACCATTCCAGAGAGTGTGGAGAAGCTAAAGATTCTAACTTTCCTTGCTTTAAGCGACAATAAGCTTAGTGGATATGATCCTAATGGAGTTGCCAAACTTCAGAAGCTTGAATACTTGATCATGGAAGGCAATCCAATGTTCATTCCATTGCCGCCGGAGCTCGGGAGGCTGCCGAGGCTTCAGGAACTGAGACTGGGGAGCTCAGGCTACTCAGGGATGATACCAAAGAGCTTCTGTTGGTTAAAGAATCTGACCAGTCTGTCTCTTGAGAACAATAATCTCAGTGGTGAAATACCTCCTGAGTTTAATGGACTTAGAAAAATTTATCACTTGAATCTGAGTAGAAACTTGCTTAGTGGAGTTGTTCCTTTCAGTTCTGAGTTTTTTAGAAGGCTTGGGAGGAATTTGGATCTGAGTGGGAATGCTAGACTTTGTGTGAATGAGCATGAAGGATTGAATGAGAATGTTGGGGTTGGAGTATGTGGAAGTAATGGGTCTTCTTCTGTTGATTCTGATGAGATGAGGAAGCCATTGGAGAGCTCTGAAGCTGCTTCCTTAGCTTTGGGGATCTGGTCATGGCGTTCAGGGGCTGGGTTTATGGGTTTCAGTGCTGTGTACTTTTGTCTTTGGAGTTCCTAGACAGGATTTTGGCTATGTTTTGTACTGGTTTTTTCTCTTTCTCTAATTGTTTTAACTGATCTGAAATTTTCTGGGTGATTTTGGTGTATGTTTATAAGTTGATCAGTTTAAATATATAGGAATTAGGAACTTGTTTAGGTGAAATTAATGGTCTTTTTGGGGTTGCTATTTTGATTTTTAGATTACAATCGAAATTTTCTTTAATCATTATTTTCTCATTGCTTCAAAAAATTTGTGTTAGAAAGCTGATTTATAGCAACTTTCAAAAGATGTAGTTTTTATTTGGAATGATTTTTTTATTGCTTTGTAAAGCTGTTGTAGAGAAAAATAAAATTTTTAAATTATTATAAAAAACAATTTTCTAGTACACATTTTTGTAAGCAATGAAAAAATAGTTACCAAAGAGAAATTATAATTGCAGTCTAAAAAACAAAGCAATAATAAAGATGTCTCAAATGAAGCCATAGAGGCTGAGGCTACAGCATTTTGTAAGGTTGTAAAATTGATAAGGAGACAATAACTTTACTACTATGATTGCATAAAACCGCTTTCTATAGTAAGAATTTTTTAAAACAATTAGAAAGCAACAAGAAAGTAATTTCCAAATAAAATTATGATTTCTGTCTAAAAAACAAAGCAGTTAAAAAATTATCACATTCGCCACAATTATTTTACACCAAATAATGACTTAAACTCAACTTATTAGCATACAAATCGACTAGATTAAAAATATTAATATAAAATACACTTAAAATATATTAATATTAAAATTTATTTAAAATATTTAAAAATTATATTTTATTATCCTATAATAACCATTTTTTAAGTTTTTTTTTTAAATTATTTTATTATAATAATTGCTTGAATCATAATTATTTTCTCAATTTTGAGCCAACTCAAACTCAAAAAGCACTGAAGCGTTCATAATTAATAAAAAAAAAGTTATTATCTGTGCAACTAAAAATTAAATTCAAACATAAATAAAATATTTTATTTTTTAAACCAATTCTTATTCAGTGAGGGCTAAGCAAGCTCCAATTTCTATATAGAAGAAAAGTGAGGGCTAAGCTCCAACTATAAGAGAGAATTACATGCAGACATATGCTCACAAATGCAACTCCAAAGATAAAAATTCTATACAAAAAGCTTCAACAATAACTATCAATAATCAAATTAGAAGGCTGAAAAAAAAATTTTGGCCAAAAGATGAACAAAAATGACCCAAAAACTTCTGAAACTCTCCCTCGATCGATTTCCGTTAGGGATAAGATTTCTAGCACTATTAAGGAAAACGCGCATTCAATATTATTCAAGTTGCTCATTCAAAACTCATAAACATAGCACTAAAGCTTCATTTGGGGCAATTTTTCGTCACTATTCTTTCGCTGCTTTCAAGAAATTTTTATACTAGAAAACTGCTTTAGAAAACAGTAAGAAAACTATCCCAAACAAAACTTGAGAGCAAACCATCTTACAAGATTTCCATCTCAATATCTTGACGCTAATAACTTTTTTTAATTTCATAGCAAAGACTAGATTGAATGGCTCTTCATTGCATTCTCAAATCTCCTGTTATTTCTTTCCCTCCATAAGTAGTAAAGAACACAGCAGATAGCTTGAATTCTTATATTACAAGAAGAGCTTGATAGCCTCATTTACTACATATTTGAGCCATTCTAACAAACTTTACTAATAATTTGCTCTCTGAAATCAAAATTAATACATAAAAATGTTATATATGTATGAAACTTGATCAATATCCTGTCCCATTATTACAGTCTTTAAGCAAAATAACAAGGCAGAGCAGGTTTTTTAACTACACTTATTTAACTCAGAATTTAAGAGCCATTACTTTGCCATAATTCAGAAATATTTACAGAAGCTTAGGCATCAGAACTTAGCATATTGGGGCTAAATCTTAGTAGTTTAAGGCTTCGTTTGGGACGGCTGTTTTACTGTTTCTTGAAGCAGCTTTTTAGTACACAAATTTTGATTTTTATACTAAGCAGTAAAAAAGTCATCCCAAATGTATATATATCTATATAACTGACCTACACACCAAATCCAGCCAGGCGCCTTCTGGTAGCATTTGAAACTGAGACCTGCCAATGCTCTTCAGTTTCAGTTGAAGCCACTCGTTCGTTCACGGGCTGGTAATGTCTAAGCCAAACGCCAGTGTAAACCTGAGTGATTGAAAGCAGAAGAGGAAGGTTATTTGACTGAATGAGAAAGGAATAGAAAGATGATTATAAAAATGAAAATATAAATCATAATGAATGGAAGTTTTCAATTTCTGTATCAATCAATGTGAAATTGTATGAAAATGAAAGACTGGGAAAACAATCTAGCATTTACAAATTGCTGGAAATGTTTGATGATTGAGAGTAAATAAGATGAATTTTAAACGTGTATATATCATGGTTTTTAAAAACAGATCGATACACATGGTTTTTAAAAACAGTCGGACCGGACAGTTCAACAGTAAACCGGCTGGCCAACCGGTCTAATTAAACCACAAAATTACTCCAGCTTAAAACCGCCAAAAATTAGACAAACCGCTCGTTCAACCGTATAACCGGCGAACCAGAAGAAATTGAAAAAACCGCCCGGTTCTGAATGTGATGAATGGGTGCCGTTGATTGCAAATCGCATGGTCAACATATTACTTCTTGAACTGTATAACCCTAAAGCAATTTCGTATTTCCTACCTCTCTTACTCCTCTGGTCGCGAGACTCATGACAGATCTCACTTGTTCGCTCCAATCTCAGGTCCGTCTTCTTCCACAAGGCTTGCTTGCACAGTCAATACTGCAAAAGAATGCTCAAGATCTTCATTACCAACTTCTTTCCTTTTTTTTCCTCAATCGTCTTCTTCTTCCCCCCATCTGCTTGCCTCACAGCTATGTTTTGGTGTTTAATTATGGTTTTGACTTGTTTTATTTGGTTTGTGTTTGATTTCGCATACATTAATTGTGTTTTTGTGGTTTTAACGCTATCATGGCTCATAATTCTGCCAAGGATTTGGTGGAATTGGCGGCATTCTATGCTATCAGCTTGATATCAGGTCATTTGATGAGTTTTCAGATGGGGAGGCATATGAAGATTCTCGTTAGAAATTAACAAGTTGATTAGTTTGAGCTTGCGGTTGGTTTCCGATGGTTGATTCTCCGAGGATGCTACAACGTGTAGGTTGATAAACAATTCTTAGTGTGAGTTCTTCTATTAGATTCTTGCATCATCTGTGTGCAACTTGCTCGAAACGTTATGCTTCAATGTATAAGTTATGAGTGCTGAAATTAATCTCAAATCTCATACATTTGGAGTTGTCACAAATGCTTAATAAATGTATAAATAGTGATGTTAAAAATATTAGAGAAAATGTGATGATTGAAAGTGATAAAGTTGCACAAAGGTTAAATTTTAGGCCATTTAAATTCAAAATGATGTTAAATGGTTGTGGAGGTGGAACTAATTTTATTAATTTTTAATAATATTATTATTGATTACATCATTCGGTTTAACTAGTGGGTCGACTTGAACCGGTCGGACCGTGAACCTCTCATTCTTCCAATTCGTTGTCCGGTCCGATTTTCACAACAACCTTGATATATATTGTACTGTCAAAAAATGAAATATTTGTGGAACTCCGAAAATAAATAAGAAATGCAAATTTGGACATATGGATTTCTCAACACGTCGAAGCTGAGGGCTCAGCAAATGGATAGTAAGTTTGGAGAAAATTGGGTCAGGATGGGTTTAATAATTCTTAGATTTGCTTTGAGATTAGTGCAATACCAAAAAGTCAATCGATTAATGTATTGAATAATTTACTATTTCTATTTAAAAGAACTTTCTGATTTTGTATTAGAAATTTCTCATGGCCCATTAAATAAAACTTTATTTCATTTTTTATTTTTTTTAAGTTCTCATATCATGAATTCAAAACTAACGCAAGCAATTCAAACAAAACAATTAAGTTATAGCCAAATAGAAGTTGCAGGAAACGAATTCATTTGTACGAAGTATATAGAATCAAGAGTTTTACAGAAAAATTGCAGAACGAATATAGATTTCATTTATGTAAAAGCATTCTTTTCAGAATTTATATTAGATAGAAGGTCGGATAGAAATTCCATGGAATTCTCTCGCATAGGGAAAGATGGATTGCCATTATAGGTGTAAATAAGCCGAGTTTAAGAGAGTTCAAGAATTATTCGGATTGGCTCGTTACACGAACAAGATAAAATTAAATTTTAAACTTGTTAACCTATTCAAATAAACACAAGTTATTCACCAACATAAAATCTGATTGAAAGTTATATATAAATTATAGACTCTCTCTCTCTCTCTATCTATCTATCTATCCATCAATATGAGGAAATAAAAATTTGCACAAACAACACTAAACCAACCTGCTGCGGTCTCATAATCTTCGTGTCAGGATCATCAAGTGATTCTCTCCAGTGTGCCAAGTATCCAGCCATTCGTGGAATAGCAAATAAAACAGGAAAAAACTCCGTCGGAAATCCCATGGCACTGGTTTTACATAGTACAGTTAATATCAGATGCAAGCTTTAAAAGAATGAAAGAAAACTGGAAGATAACTCACCGATATATCAAGCCAGAATAGAAGTCGACATTAGGATAGAGCTTCCTCTTGACAAAGTAATCATCGGATAAAGCAGCTTTCTCCAACTCAACAGCCACCTGAAAGCAATAAGCACATTAAAATGACTTGGCATTAGTAAGCTGACTGAAAGTCTATTAAATTTAATTTCACATGCAGTAAAATATAAGGATCTGTTAGGTTGAGATATGAAATTTGATAGGAAAAGGTAAAGCAAAGACCAGTAGTAAAAGGAAAATAAAATTTTATCATATTTAACCTAAAATTTCCCCACAAGAAACTGGAATATTCGTGAGTACAAATTCTGGGTCATTTCAATTTCATTTCACCCTAGGAACAGTCATTCTTCAGAAAAACCGGACATTCTTAACCTCTTACACTAGTAGCGTACATACTGTCAAATTTCCACCATAACTTCTTTTAAATAAAAAATAGAAATGAAAGCAAAACATACAGTGAGAGCATAAAGAAACTGAAGATGAACTAGTTAGGATTGTAATGCCGAGGTCCAACACAACAAATTTGCAAACGAACTGAAAATGTACATTCATGCTCGGCTTATTTATTATCAAACCATAACAAAAGCAACAAGCCAAAGTGATGACAATTGCGGGCTTCGAAAATTCACGCCCCGGCCTCTCCATGCCCTACTTTTTTTGTTTATGAGCAGAATTTTAACAGATTTAAGTTCCAGGTAAATTTTTAGAAGGCAAATTAGGTTTTAGATAAGACACTACCTAGAGATTTCGCCCTCATTTTGTTAGGACTTTATGATCTGAGTTATGATTTCCTATAGGCGCAAGCACCTATAGTTAATTGTCCTTCCCAATAACGATAGTAGGCGCAAGCACCTATAGTTAATTGTCCTTCCCAATAACGATAGTAGGCGCAAGCCCCTATAGTTAATTGTCCTTCCCAATAAGGATAGAGAATTTTTTTATTAAGGTTAATTGTGAGATGGGCACTGAGTACCCAACGTATAGAAGCAACAACTTTAAGGATTTTTAAATTAGATTTTAGTGATTTTTAATATTTGAAATTTATCACCATAAACATAAAACAAGTGATGGGGGGGATGAAGATTAGTCTGATCAAGATCCCATAGTTTTGTCTTCCCGAGCAATGGTCTATTTAGTCAAAGAAGATTGTCGACCCAACCTGACAAAAGGCACCTTATCGGTAGCCATGGGTTGATTCGTCCAAGGATACCTTGTAAACCCAGGGGTGGTGTCTAAGGAGATACATTTTAGTTCAACTTAGCTGACAAGGGGGCTTTATGCTTATCAAGTACATCCTATGATTCATTACTGAAGGACTTGAAACAATTAGGGAACATACGGGCTTTAGCCGTGATTGTAATATAATTGCATCATTTTGCAACAAAACTATCCAATCAGAAGGCACGTGTCACATCTCATCCGACGAGAGACTATTTGAGAATAAATCTTAGTTATACACCTTATACGATATTCGCTCTTTGTGATTTGAGGCTAATTTAATATTTATCACCTATGACAAACGATTCCAGAAGGTAGATGAGTTTTAGTTTTAAGTTTCTAGATAATAAATTTCATTTTAGGACTTCATACTTTAGTTTAATTTTGGAATTTTAATAGGATTTGAGTATTGACCCCTCCAGTTGAGATTAACATTCAGCATGACCATCATGGGATGCATGATTGTCATTTGAAAAATATATGTATTTTGTAGAAATTTAGGAGGCCTGCAATGCTTTATGGTGTTGAATGTTGGCCATTAAAAGAGAAGCATAATACTAAGTTAAGGGTTGCAGAGCTGAGGATGCTCAGGTGGATGAGAGGCTTTACCCTTAAAGATAGGATACGAAATGAGCATATACGTGAAAAGGTTGGAGTAGCTCCAATGAAAGATAAGATTAAAGAGAATTGCCTTAGATGGTTTGGTCACATAAAACAGCGGCCTTCCGATGACCCGATTAGGAAAGTAGAGGTATTAGATTTGACTTGTGTTAAGAATGGTAGAGGTAGATCTAAAAAAGACTTGGTTAGAAAATATTAGAAATGATCTTTCTTTATTAGATTTAAATGAGAATTTGCCTTTTAACATGACATAATAGAGAAAAAGGATTCATGTAGCCGACCCCACGTAATGAGACAAAGGCTTGATGTTGTTGTTGTTGTTGTTGTTGTAGAAATTTAGGAGGCATCTTATAATTCAAGTCAGATCAATTCCAATCCTTTTTAAAGAGAAGGATGAAACTTGAATATCTAACCCGCACAACATTCTTGAACCGTTAGATTTAAAAACAAATATGACAGTCAGAGCACATGCAGGATATATTTTTCAGCAATAGATTAGGGCTATCATAGAAGTATCTTCTATTTGCTTGTACAAATGTTATAGATCCGATGACATACATTGTCAATGAATTTTGTTTTAGAAAAGATATATTTTGGCATTTCATATGATTCTATCTTCTATTGTACAATTTTTCTCCATCTTCTATTGTACAATTTTTCTCCAAGCAATCAGTATTGGGGGTGTTCAAAATTTGTCATTATCCTTCTTTTTCACATTTATCACTTCTTGCTCTTGCTCCATATAAAAAGTTGTGAAGGAATTTCAATTTTATGTTCATTGGAATTGGACTGGATCTGTAGCATTGATATAACTATTTCTATAATGGGTTTCAACGATATTAAGATAACATTTTCCCGTGCATTGAATATCTTGTGGACACATGTTACCATATATTTCTAAGCTTTTCTACTGATAGTGGGGGTTTTTTTTTTCTATTTTTTTTTTGAAGAAATTTTGCAGCACCGAGTGCTACACACTTCATCAGTGTTCAAGCAATGAACTTCCGAAATAACTATAGTTGGAATGTCCTTAACCATTTAAAGAAACTTAAAGCTGGAATGACCATTGATAATAGTAACCGCCACAATTGCAATATGGTAGTTCTCAGCCTTCCTCAAAATAGCTTCTCCTGCATCTTCTACTTTGCAATATGAATGTACCCCGTCGCCCATGGCTTCAAGTTTCATTCTAGTATCAGCTACAGATTCTCTATCTTAATTACATAGGAGGGTCTTAAATCCTTTAGGAAAATCTTTCCACAAAGTCAAATCATCAGCAGAGCAAGGCATAGTTGGTTTTGCATATTTCTCTCAATCAAAATTACAAATACATGAACTACCCATTTCAAAACTGAACTAGTTTCTTATATTCATATGTTCTCTTCACCAAAATTTCTCTTAAGATAAGATTAGGGGTAGAGAAATGTTGCTTTCACCCATTCAAATAATTCAGAAGGTCAGAGAGTTGCAATTATATATATATATATATATATATATATCAGCAATTTTTAATTCAAATTCAATAATCCTCCAAAAAATTATTTTTGCTCATATTTTCATTCAGTAAAAGTTTCGGCAACCTCTCGACATCCCCTCCCCACGAAGGGAGGTTTCATTCAGTAAAAATTTCGGCAATCTCTCGACATCCCCTCCCCACAAAGGGAGGTTGGGAGGCACTTGCCTTTGGTTCGTTTCGCTCGGATCTAAGATACGACGGCGCAAGGTCTTCGAATTAGCAATCATCCCGCCATAATCAAAGATACAACTGTGCAAGGCCTTCAAATAAAAATTCCTGCCCGGATCAAAGATGCAATGGCGCGGGTTTTGAAATTAGCAATTAACTATTTAAAACCCCTTTTCTTTCTTCTTTTTTTTTTCTCTCTTATGTATGTGTATGTATATATTCCTTAAACAATTTATTCCTCAGATGAATGGTTCGCCAGAGGGGCATTTGATGTCATGTGAGGAAGTTACAGGAGCAAAGACTTGCGTCGTTTAGGAGCGATGGTTATAAGATCATGGGTGAGTGGGGTCGACTGAAGGCAGTTAGAGGTCAACAACAATCAAATGCATTAATAATCTTTTCATGACAGCTTTGATTGTAAAATATTTTCATAATGAAACAAAATGTGTTTCGTCCATAATTTTTTGAGTATATTCAAAGTTTTTGATATAAAGCATGAGAAAAAATAAAGTCACATGCATAAATAATGATGGCTTCAATTATAATGTTAGTTTTGTGTGGAATCTGCTTGTATCGATCAATCGGGTTGTACATTAGTCTCAAATATCATCAGGGGAGGGGATTGCAGGGGGGCAACACTCCTCTTGCTTGCCCATAGAAAAAAATTTACATACAAGCATTGTGCATTGTATGTTGGAGCGTTCCAGCACTTCAGGCTTGAGCTAGAGACAAAGAGAGGAGCACTATAGTGCTCCAAACCCTGGCACTGCAGCACTGTAAGTTATAGCGCCACAACGCTACAGGGTGGGCTAAGAGATAGAGAGTGAGTGCCACAATGCTCCAGACCTCAACGCAGATGCACATAGAGTCGTGCTCAATAGTTTTCGTTCCTCTTTGCCTTATTTCACTTGAAGGGGGTTGTGTTCTTCGGTGCATTAAAAAGCATTTCTTTCTCTGTTTTGAGTGTAGAATGAAGAGAGAAGTGAAGAGAGACAATGAGAGAGCATGAGAAAATAGATTTGTACAATTTCTCTTAATTTTCAAGGGGAATTTCTACTTGTGGTGTGACTCCATGGTTTTTTTCTAAATTTTGGATTTTCCACATGAAATCCTGGTGTTCATTTCTGGTGTTTTCTTTTCTTGTCTATTTTATTGCATGATTTTCTTCCCAACATATAAAACATTTTTTAACCATAAAAAAAACAATAAATGTTTGGTCTATAACTTCTTTTCAAATCCAAGAATGGAAGAATCGTAATTTTTTTATTTTAATTTTGTATCTACCAATTTAGATAATTTTCAAACTCAATATCTACAACATTAAGTTACTTATGGATTGATTTTTACCAATCTTCAAAACAATTTAATAATTCATCAAGCATGTATAAAAAAACAAACATGAGGTCTAGTTTACACATTTCATCAATCAAAATTGTGATCCAAGAGGCTCATAGAGAATTTATCCAAAATCAATACTCTTAAAGTCTCACATTCAAAAGCTAATAAGGCACATAATCCACCAGCATCAAAAGACAAAACTCCAAGGAACGCAAGTTAA